AGTTTCCTAGCTCATTTTCTTTCAAAATAATAATATTCTCCCAATGGGATGCTTTTGCTACGGAAATAATTTATATCAATATAAGTGTTTGTTGAATATGTCATTAAAAATACCTACCAAACGGGCACTACCATTTTCTAAAGAAAAAGGTTCTAGCCGATGTGTATATACTAAAATTAAAATATTGCATTGTGAATGTTTTTTCCCATGAAGTATCTGATGATTTTGCAGCTGGTGTTCTGAGTTCCAACATGAAAAGAAAGAATGGAAGCAACATACTGTACTACACTAAACCAACAATGCTTAGAGAGTTCCTCTTTCGTTAAACATGTAAGAAATTGTTACGAAAAATGTACGGTCCTTTAGGCCAGGAACTACTGAAAAAGCGGAGCCGTTTTTAGTTGAGAGATATTTTGACCCATGCTTAGTTGTTGTTTTATAAACCCACCTGCACTTTATGTTTACTTAATGTTTTAATCGCGGAGTTGCATTAGTTGTATTGCCGCATTAATTGTATTGTTTGCAAAATATTTGACCAAAATTCAAAACGACATATTGTTTGCAAGTACATGGAATGTACTTGCATAGGTACACCTTTAAACTTATTTGTTACGCCCCTCTTTTGAAGTTTCATATTTGTGGAAGTCAAATAACATTCTTTCATTTCCACCCATTTAAAAGACTGGCTGCTTAATAGAAAAATCTGGATTGGCTATCTCACATTCACCGAGAGCTGCATCAGTCTTAATGGTATCATATTAATTGTATATTTTCGTCCATTACAGTTTTTGCTGTTTCAGCTCCAATCCAAGCATCTTTTTGATACCTTTATTGATACCAGTTTGTTTGAGAGATGGATGGATTTAAGGTGCAAAACCAAATAACATTCTGTGCAGCAGTCATTTGTTCAGAGTATATGTTCTTTGGATACTTTACTCCTATCCCGACTAATTATTAGAAAAGTGTATTCTACATATATATTATTGAGCATTTACCCCATCGCGCAATGCGCGTCTAAAAAACTAGTATATACGAAGTATGTATATTTGTTGATTTTGAAACAAGAATTGATCATGTCTACATCCGTGAGTCGTCTAAATTCCTGAATACGTGGATGCTGGTCATTATTAAGAGGAGTCAAGGAGATGGAGATCTTCGTAATGATCATTAATGGATAAACAATTAGTGAATTTGTAATACAGTACAACTTTTAAAACCATAGAGTACAGAGTTCAGACAAGTTCAAATCTTTTATTTTATTGTGACACTAGCTAGTGTCCAAGCGCAGGAACGATAAGTAAGATGCTGAGTACTAATCTAATTACATTTACAATGTGTAATTTGCAAAAATTAGTTTTTCAGTCTTATTAGCCAACTTTTTCATCAAACGTGTAATTTTTTATTTCGTGCGCTAAATTGTATAAAATTGAAATAAGTAAAGCTGAAATTATTTTTCTGGTTGAATTGACTTAAGTTACTGTAAACGATTATTTTTGCTATTTTTATATATATTTTTTTCGAATTTATTTTTTCCATAATTCTGCAAAATCAGACAATCCAGCTTCACCTAAAATATCATAAATTTTAGCAGAATCAGTTGATTCAACAAATTTCAATGTTATCAAATAGACTCTTAGTTTACTGTTCATGTATATTCATTTGAAAGGTATATATACGTTTGCTAAGTAGCACGGAAACTGAAAACGGGAAACGCGAGAAACGTAATTTCTAAAAAATATAGGACACGAAACGTGGGGGAAACGCGTAAATATTATAAAATATAAGGATATATTTATAAATATTTTTTAATATATGTACACAAGTTTTTCCATATGTACATGTTTTTTAATACAATTTGTTTAGTAACCAAATAATAAAATCACTCTACATGTTCGAATTTAGATATTATTTCATATTAGTACATAATTAAACATAAAATGTACGGAGTAATACATTTCTAGCAATACATTGCGTTACGAAATGTAACAAGTGTTGCCGCTGAGAAATACCACAAAAATTCACTATAAAAAATTATTTTCCACCACAGAATCTTTTGAAAAAGAAAAAAAAATTGGAATCCGAGGTTTCCGAAACGTAGTGAAACGGGTTTCCAAATTTTTCTTAATTACGGAAACGGCCCCGAAACGGGAATTTGAAGTTTCCGAGTTTCCGAAATGCATCCGAGTTTCCGAAACGTGGAAACGTGAGCCATGGAGAGTTTCATGGATGCCTCCCTGACAATGAACTTTACTTCCGAAATGCCTCCCTGGAAACGTGCTTCCTAGTACGTTTGTTATTGCAATAAAAGTCGTTATTATTAAAACTCAGAAAAGCATGCGCTAAAACAAACATTAATTGGAATCAAGCAAACAACCTAGGAGTGGGTTGGCGATATCGAAAACTGAATCAACAAAAAGTTGAACCGGAAGTAAAAAAAAACTCAACTGCAAAAAAATCGAGGCCGAACTAAAAAACGAGTTGTAGTTATTAAGTACTCCGTATAATATTTTGTTTAATTCTTAATTTGTAATTCTAGAAAGTTAATCTTCGGTACAAATTATAAAGAACTTCGGCACTAAAAATTTTGGGAAAAACTAATATTTATAAAAGTGCATTGTGATAACAAAAATAATACATGTATTCCAATGATACTCTCTAATTATTATGACCTGCCATTCAATGACACACTCAATTGGCAAAAAAATTGCGGTCATACTCAGGGAGAAGGATCAAGGATGAAGGATGTATATGAGCTGAAGCAGTAGATTCTCAAAAACATTACTCAAGAAGAGTTTGTGACTTTGCATTACAATTTACTCAAGATTCAAAAACTTTTCCAGTGGAATACACCTCCTATCAAATGATGCTTTCCATATTGTCATGTATGAACTATGGGTTGTCCCACCCTGTGGTCAAGTATTGAGATGCAACATAGAAACATGAACTTAACCTCAGAAGGTTGCTGGCTCTGAAATACCACCTAGTGAAGTCAAATATGATGCCTCCCTGACAATGAACTTTACTTCAGATACATGCATATTTAAAGAAGAATGAAAACATTGTATTAAAGAAGAACCGCCCTCAAAACGCGTAAAAGTACAGTCTGGAAATTTGGGAGATCATTTGAACGAAATGTCTCTTAGAGAGCCTAAAAATTGCTCTCATGAACACCAAGGAGAGGATGAGGTGGTTGGTTCTAAAGGAGTTGTCAAGAAAGTCGAATTTGTTAGAATCATTGCGGGGGCATTATATTCTCTTGGTTACAAGAAGACTGCAGAGCAGCTAGCTAGAGGAAGAATCAGGGATACAATTGCATTCTGAAGTTGTAAATTTGTTTATACAGCGAATCCTTGATGGAAAATGGGATGAAAGTGTAGCTACATTACCTAGAATTGGTCTAATGGATGAAAACATCATAAAGTGCATATCATTTATTATATTTGAACAGAAACTTTTTGAGTTTCTGGATGGAGATATTGTTATGGGAGCTTTAAAAACTTCGAGGATGGACATAGTTACTCTATGCATAAAAAGTGATCGAGTCCGTGAGCTTTCCTCATGCATCACATCTTCTTCACCAAATAGTCTTGATGGCATGTCAAGTCCATTCACTGTTAGAGTGAAGCCTCGATCAAAGCTACTGGAAGAATTGCAGAGATTGTTTCCACACGCAGTCATGATACCTGAAAAGAGATTGGTGCATCTTGTTGAACAGGCCCTTGATTGGCAAGTTGAAGGGTGTAGGTTTCACAATTCTTTGATGGGTGAGATGTCATTGCTCACTGATCACCAGTGTAGTAGAGGTCAAATCCCTTCTCAAACTTTACAGATCTTAAAAGAGCATAGTGGTGAAGTCTGGTTCTTGCAGTTTTCCTATGATGGAAAGTACTTAGCGTCATCATCTGTGGATTGCTCTGTTATTATTTGGGAGGTCAAACAAGATTGTCAAGTCTCTTTAAAGCACCGACTTAATGGTCACCAACAACTTGTATGTTGTGTTTCATGGAATCCCGAATAACACTCAGATCCTAACCTGTGGGGTGGTCGAAGCTGTTCGCCGATGGGATGTGGCATCTGGGGTATGTGTCCATGTTTATGACAAAGCTGGTCTTGGTTTGATCTCTTGTGGATGGGCTTCTGATGGTAACAGTATATTCACTGGTGTTTCTGACAAAAGCATTGCCATGTGGGGTTTAGACGGTAAGGAGTTGGAATGTTGGAAAGGGCAAAGGACTACTAGGTTATCAGATATTGGGGTCACTTCTGACGGGAAACAGATTGTTTCTGTATGTAAAGAGAACGAGATAGTTATGTTTGGGTGGGAGTGAAAAGATGAGAGATTTCTTGTGGGGGATCAAACCATAACATCGTTTGTATTGTCAAGAGACAATAAGAAAGACATTCTGGTTAGTCTACTCAACCAAGAGATTCATCTTTGGGATATAGATGGGAGTATGAAGTGTGTAGCCAAATATAAGGGTCACAAGCGCACCCGTTTTGTTGTGAGGTCTTGTTTTGGTGGACTCAATCAAGCATTCATTGCTAGTGGAAGTGAGGATTCACAGGTTTATATATGGCATAGACGGTCTGGGGAGCTCGTTGGGACATTGGGAGGACATTCTGGAATAGTGAACTGCGTGAGCTGGAATCCAGTGAACCCTCATATGCTGGCATCTGCAAGTGATGACCATACCATTCGCGTGTGGGGATTGAATAAGGTAAACATGATGAAGCGTAGTAGCAATAACAACGAAGATTCTAATGATGATGATGATAATAATAATAATAATAATAATAATAATAATAATAATAATAATAATGACAGTGTTAGCAATGGGATCCAATATTGCAATGGTGAAACCTCTACCCATTGATATCAGGTGCTTATGTTTGCTGTTATTCATACCAAAAGGTTTCTTTTATAAACCCATTCGTGTTTATGTATATTCTTTTAACATCCATGTCATGCTGACATCTTATGTCAAACGAGACTGAAGAATGTGAAAATCTGTTTTCATTTTCAGCAAGGATAAACCTGTACGATTATTGTTTCTCAGTTATAAAAAAAAACTACAAATTCTACAGTATGAATAATGTACTAATTCTACGATATGAATAATGTACTAAATCCTATTAGTTAAAAAAGAATCACATGATAACTCATAAACCAAACTAGTTCAAACTAAACAAGTTAAAACAGAAAAATCGAACACAAAAGAGGACAGCCTAAATGACGAGCAATTGCACTGTTGGAGAAGCAGCCTGCCCTCGCAATTGTTGATGGATTACTTGTGATTTGCTCTCATCAAATTTTGAAGTACGCTGTGATTCTTGACACCAACTGAGCTCTTGGTAACCTTTACTCTTATTAAATATTGCAGTATAGCGAGAATCCCTTCTCAAAACCATCCTCTCGAGAGCCAAAGCACTATTCAGGATGTACAATACCACAGAAATCTCATTATCAAAGCCATAGAACCCACCAAATTCTACTTCTTTTAGATGAAGATGAAGATGACTTCTGGGAGATAGACTCCTTGCACCAAGTGGCCTGGGTGGTGTTCTTCTCTCCCTTCCCACCAAATGCATTATCTGAAGCAGTGGACAGTGGATGATTAAATCAGCAATCTGGGTCACATCAAACAAGTCATTGAACTCCATTCGTATGTCAAGCTGCCTCAAACGGCTAAATGTGGGCACCTTAAGAGGCAAACCATATGCCACATGGCTTGTGCGCGACCACGACTCAACACAAAAAGATTCAACCTGAGAACAATCCTGTGCTACCCAGCTAATGATTTGAAGCAAATGACCATTGTATACTACCTCCAAGCTGACATGTTGGAGCTTGGGGAGATGGGAAGGATGAGAGAACTTCAATGCTAAATCACTATATAAACCAAGTTTCAAGGTCAGAAGGTTTTCAGCACACAAATATATCTCCTCCACCTCCTTCCCATTACACTTGAAAATGGTTAATGACTTCAACTCTAGATGTTTTCCTTCCACAATGAATTCATTAGAAGAAAGACAGCAATACTCCAACGATAGAGACTCAAGTTTCGGGCATGATGACAATATGCTCTGCACGTCAACTGAATCGATAAAAATCAACTTTATGGATGTCAGATATTTGAACTGTTGTTGGGGATTGAAGGGTTCTAATTCCATATTGCTTGCGGTCAAATGCAGCAACGTGAGCCTACATGTTGCTGCTTTGCACACAAGCTTCTGAAGCGGGACTGTGATCTTTTCCCCTTGATAACACAACTTCAGCGTAAGCTCTTCCACACCCAATCCAGCAAGGTGATGCACCCATCGCTCAATGTGGCATGTGAAATCTGTCTTAACACAGAATGACAGCCTGAAAGATTTGATCTTTTCACAGCCAGCTCTTCTATGGATTTGAAAAAACCTATCCATGACAGTCAGAATCTTGTACTCAGCAGTACAACTACACAGGCAAAAAGGAAACATCACCACACATGGGCAGCCAAAAGAATAACTAGGCAGAAAAAGATAGAGGTTTCTCCACCGACTACACAATACGCTAGTCCTAACCGCATCTTTTGTATCCAGTCGTGAGAGGATGGAGCACAGAATTTCATTTGTCAATGCACTTATTCGGTCCTCCACCTCCTTCTTAACCTCCTCCTTAACCTTCTTCTTAACCTCCTCCTTAACCTCCTTCTTAGCCTCCTCCTTAGCCTCCTTCTTAGCCTCCTCCTTAGGCTCCTCCTTAGCCTCCTCCTTAGGCTCCTCCTTAGGCTCCTCCTTAGCCTCCTCCTTAGCCTCCTCCTTATGCAGGCGTAGATATGAAGAAACTGCAGTTCCAATTCCAAGTCTCAATCCTGTGAAGACCATTAGAGGGAAAACAAACCCAAGCTGCGGGAACCATATTCCAAACTTATCGCTATAACTCGTCGGCATGATACTGTTTTTTTTTTTTTTTTAAATTTGTGAGATCAAGAAAACGTAAATAATACCGAGTAATATCTTGATCTCAAAAACAAAAAAAAAATACGGAGTAACATCTATATATCCGCTGCAGGCAGAGGAGGTTAAAGCTGGAGCCGAAGTAAGATAGAAGTTCTTCTGCGGGTAAATAAAAACTAAAAAGAAAGCAAACATCAAAACAATTCCTTATACGATGCCGGCCATGGGAAATTTACCTACACAAGTGTGCAGGGCCCCTAAATCTTGGGAGCCTCTAAATTTTAAAACAAGCCCATTAGTATATACTTAATCTATGTTTTACTGTTTTCGGTTACAGACCAAATCGGACTAAATTTAAACAAATCATACCAGATTATATCAGACTTAAACAGATTAGACTTGACTTCCGATATTATAAAATACACAGAGACAATACGTTTACTAAACCTGATCAGACTTAAACAGAGACAAGATGAGCAAATTACAAGTTCCAAATTACAAGACTTAAACGGTTAAACCTATCTTGGTTTTCTCCCAAGTCTCGTCGGCGCACATCACGGTTGTTGGTTTGGGTGGTTTGATGGGTATTCAATTTCATCTGCTCCACTTCTTCTATACCTGAAAATAATGTTACACATGATCATCTTCAATTGTGGAAGAAGAGGAGTAGATGAATTTATAACTATCAATTTCATCTATTTAAGAACGGTGCCAATTTTTTTAGTATATATATAGCATATGGAATATGTATGGATCAAGTTTGACCAGCACAGTAATTAATAAAGTAAAAACTGTGTGATTGAGTATCGTGTAAAAGAGAGAGGATCAACTGAAACCATAAATTTTTTACTTAATACTGGAAGTGACAAAGTTAGTGACACAATAGAATCAACCGGAACCACAAATTTTTAATTAAAAGTGAAAGTGACAAAGTTAGTAACACAACCAAAAAAGAAAAGTTGATAAAGTTTTAAAGGACATAGGGCTTATATGAGACTATTGTAAGAAGACTGCTAAAATGTTGGATTATTAGTTTCCATTTTCCCTAATAAGAAAACATAATGTTGGAGTTAGTTTTTTGGTTGTATTGGCTGAAGTTACTGATGATCAATTTACCTTTTTCATATAATTTTTTTATTTAATTGATAAAATATAGTTTAGATATTGTTTTTCATAAATGAGCAAAATAAGCCGTTTCAACAAATTACTTTGTGAAATTTAAAAATTGAATTGATTGCAATAATTACTTTTGTGAGAATAAAACATAGATACCCTTACATAGTTGGAATTGTGATTTGTGAGTTTTAATTTGATTCAAATATTGAATAATTTAAAGTTTTTTTTTGTAAATTAAGTTTTTATTTATGAATAATTTACATGTTCACTAAGATTATTCCATACAAAATTTGGTAAAATTTGTATGATTCTAAATCATTTTTACTTTATTCTTACGTTATCAATTTAATAACAACCACATATATTCATTGATAGAGTTATTGAGAAAAAATGAATATGTGTGGTTGTTATTAAATTGATAACGTAAGAATAAATAAGAACGGTGTGGAACTATACAAATTTTACCAAATTTTGTATGGAATAAACCGAATAATCATGTCCACCGACCTATATGGGAGTACGAGAGAACTTCTCATGATTAACTATCAGACTTCCATGATCCAAATGAGTCTTAACTTTACATTGCATCTAAGGTTCCCTTTGGTAGTCAAATTTGGCTTATTGTTCCAATAAACAGAGTCAGATACTTTTGACATTCATTTGGCTGAAATGGATTACAAAACGTTTGTCTTTCAAATAATTATCAGCGACCATTTCATCCGAATACATCTTGCCAACTCTGTAATACCACCTAGTGAAGTCAAATGTGATGCCTCCTTGACAATGAACTTCAGATACATGCATATATAAAGAAGAATGAAAGCATTGTATTCTAATAACTACAAATTCTACGATATGAATAATGTACTAAATCCTAATATTTAAAAAAGAATCACATGATAACTCCTACCAAACCAAACTAGTTCAAACTAAACAAGTTAAAACAGAAAAGAAAAGAACACAAAAGAGGACAACCTAAATGATGAGCAATTGCACTGTTGGAGAAGCAGCCTGCCCTTGCAATTGTTGATGGATTTCTTGTGATTTGCTCTCATCAAATTTTGAAGTACGCTGTGATTCTCCACACCAACTGAGCTCTTGGTAACCTTTGCTCTTATTAAATATTGCAGTATAGCAAGAATCCCTTCTTAAAACCATCCTCTTGAGAGCCAAAGCACTTTTCAGGATATACAATACCACAGAAATCTCATTCTCAAAGCCATAGAACCCACCAAATTCTACTTCTTTTAGATGAAGATGAAGATGACTTCTGGGAGATAGGCTCCTTGCACCAAGTGGCCTGGGTGGTGTTCTTCTCTCCCTCCCCACGAAATGCATTATCTGAAGCAGTGGACAGTGGATGATTAAATCAGCAACCTGGGTCGCATCAAAGAAGTCATTAAACTCCATTCGTATGTCAAGCTGCCTCAAACGGCTAAATGTGGGCACCTCAAGCGGCAAACCATGTGCCACATGGCTTGTGTGCGACCACGACTCAACACAAAAAGATTCAACCTGAGAACGATCCTGTGCTACCCAGCTAATGATGTGAAGCAAGTCACCATTGTATCTTACCTCCAAGCTGACATGTTGGAGCTTGGGGACATAGGAAGGATGAGAGAACTTCAATGGTAAATCACTAAAAAAAACAAGTTTCAAGGTCACAAGGTTTTCAGCACACAAATATATCTCCTCCACCTCCTTCCCACTACAATGGGAAATGGTTAATGACTTCAACCCCAGATGTTCTCCTTCGCCAACGATCACCTTAGAAGAAAGACGGCAATACTCCAACGATAGAGACTCAAGCTTCGGGCATGATGACAATATGCTCTGCACGTCAACTGAATCTATAAGAATCAACTCTATGGATTTTAGATATTTGAGCTGTTGTTGGGGATTGAAGGGTTCTAATTTCATATTGGATGCGATCAAACGCAGAAACGTGAGCCTGGGTGTTGCTGCTTTGCATACAAGCTTCTGAAGCGGGATTGTGATCTTTTCGCCTGGATAACACAACTTCAGCGTAAGCTCTTCCACACCCAATCCAGCAAGGTGATGCACCCATCGCTCAATGTGGCATGTGAAATCTGTCTTGACACAGAATGACAGCCTGAAAGATTTGATCTTTTCACAGCCAGCTCTTTTATGGATTTGAAAAAACCTATCCATGACAGTCAGAATCTTGTACTCAGCAGTACACCTACACCGGCAAAAAGGAAACATCGCCACGCATGGGCAGCCAAAAGAATAATTTGGCAGAAAAAGATAGAGGTTTCTCCATCGACTACACAACACGCTAGTCCTAACGGCATCTTTTGTATCCACTCGTGAGAGGATGGAGCACAGAATATCATTTGGCATTGCACTTATTCGGTCCTCTACCTCCTTCTTATCCTCCTTCTTGAACTCCTTAACCCCCTTCTTAGACTCCTCCTTATGCAGGCGTAGATATGAAGAAACTGCAGTTCCAATTCCAAGTCCCAATCCTGTGAGGACCATTAAGGCAAAAACCAACCCAAGCTGCGGGAACCATATTCCAAACTTATCGCCATTACTGCTCGGCATGATCCTATTTTGTTCTTTTAATTTGTGAGATCAAGAAAACCCCGTAATTAACTATACATCCGCTGCAGGCAAAGGATCCAAAGTAAGATAGAAGTACTTCTCCTGGTCACAGACGCCAGGTAAAAACTAAAAAGAAAGCAAACAATATTTATACGATGCCGGCCATGGGACAATTTACCTACACAATTGTGTGCAGGGCCCCTAAATTTTAGGAGCCTCTAAATTCTAAAACAAGCCCATTAGTATTATACCACGTGTATGTATACTTAATCTAATTTTTTATTGTAAATAAATAAAATTTTAATTCCAAAGTCAATATTCGTGAAAGGATTAATTGACGGGGCTAACCTTGATGGAGCAGGCGGCTATAATATTGGAAACTTCAAATATTCAATGAAGGACGGTTGAGTTCTTGGTTTTCCTCCTAAACTAGTATTGTACCCGTGCGATGCACGGGATATTATTTTAATATATTTATAATAAGCTTGAAGATCTTAGATGATGATAAACCAAAGTATATACTTGAAAGAATAAACTCAGACTCAGTAATAGAATGATATAGAATGATAGTTGTCAGTATACTACCTCCAATCTTTTTAGTTGCAATATTGGGGAACTTTGCACTATAAACATATTATACTTTGATTATATTTTATTTATTAATGTATTATAAATTAAATTTTTGAATAATACTTTTTAATTCTTCTCATTTATATTTTCAAAAAGATTTTTTTTTTAATTTTTACTAATAAGAAATGAAAGATATTAATTATCAAACTCGTGCATCGACAATATTGAAAGGAAAGCGGGAACATCCCAACGGGACGGAGGGAGTATATTATTGAAAGACTTCCCCACACACAAATTTGTTTGTTGTTTGATCAGTATATTCATCATCCTTTTCACATATTGAATTCATAAACATCGTATCACGCTTAGTAAAACGTGTATGAGAAATAAATAAAGAACATAAATAAACAAATTAGGCATTTTCTAAATCAACTCTTTTTCATCTCCATTTATCCTTGATACATTAATTGCTTCCAAAACATATTAGAATTAAGTTTTCAATCCCCTATTTAATTCCATTGTATATGCATTATTAGTATCCGATATTCATTTAAAAGTGAAATTTGCACTTGTATATATTATCGGATTATCAGTAACCTGTTCAAAAGTGGGATCAATCCCTTCATTATGATGAAAATGCATCAATTTTAAAATGACGTGTTAGCAATATCTTCTCATTACACGATGTTTTTGAATAGATCAGATAAAATGATAAATTGAATTCCCAAAAAACAAAATAAAACAGAAGTGTTCTAAAAGAATAAACCTCCCGGCCATATTGACTTAATATTATATTTGACCTTCCCTAAAATTGATATTCGATACTTTGAGAAGCCTCATATCTATTTATAGGATAGCTGGATAGATATAATACTATAACAGTAATTTTAGTCACAATTATTTATG